TCAATTTATACAATATATGTATATTTTTTGTATGTTTAATTTATGAACGAGATTTAGGACACTCCTTTTTATGTCCAAACAGTATTTCCAAGCCGTCGAACAAGCTCTAGGCCTAGAGCTGTCCATGATGACTCAAGGCAAATGGGGTGGCTAAAGGACACTACCTGCTTTAATCTTTATATTTTTGCAGAAAAGCCTCTGTTTGGCTCCTGCAGGGCTAGTCTTGTCCACAACCTTTCTTGTACTTTCAGCCCTCTTCTCCATTCTGTCACCAAACTCACAAACAAACTAGCTCTCTGGCTGAATTGCTTGATCTAGAGAAAGATGGTCCCCACAGCATTTACCAGTTCTTGCACTTGTGTATTTCTTTTCCCAATCCCAAGTTCAAAACACGTTCATGTGGGTGATGTAGCGAAAGGTTCACGTCTTATTTCTATCTCCTCTTCATCCATCCCTAAGCTTTTTACGAACCCAAAGGGTCAGTGTAACATCCCACTGCAGTCCAATGGGCTGAGTCCCCCTTTGCAACGCACCACAGCCTTTTTGGGATAGATTCGCAGCAGATCCCCACTGGCACTGTAAAGATTACACTAGATCCAGTTACAGTAAAGCTGATTCTCACACCACTGCTTCAGGGTTTAGAGGCTCAGACAGAGGCAGAACTGGAAAGCTTTTCTGTGCATTTTACCCCTATTCTGAGCTCAACTTTACCATTCCCTTGCCAGCCCAGCCCTGTGTGCAGTTCCAGGAGGAATGGACTATCCCCAGGGCACATTTGCTCTCAGTATGTTTAGTGCTTTGAACTATGCCTCTGAGTGTGCCATCAGTCTCCTGAGTTGTAGTTGCAGAGCATCTACATGAATTCTCTTGTAATAGAAATGACCATATATAAACCAACCACTTTGGTGCCCCAGCAGCTCCCCACAGTGTAGGGCAACAACATAGGAACTGTTTTCCCAGTATGCCTTTCTAAGTCTGAACTTTGACAATAGGCAAAGCCAGGCTAAGATGAGGATTGCAAAGGACTCTTCTGTCCTCCTGCTGGCACGTGCTCTTCCAGCCTCCCCGCACTTCCCTGTGAATGGGGAGGTGATGGCAGGACTTTGACCCTCCCTCCAGATGCGCACATCTACCATGGGTTTGCTCACCTGAGCTCTTGATACCTCTCCTTGCTATATCACCCTCTCTTCTCCTTCCCTGCATCTCCATATAAAGCTTCCAGGATAGCCCTTTAGGATTAGCTGCAAGCCCCAAGGCTGGTCCTTGGGCCCTGCTCTCTTAATGTCAGAGCCTGTGAACAGTTTGTATATGTTTAATGGTATTTTTGTGTAAATAGCTTTGTATATATTAGCACAACTGTAGCAACGGCTCTAGGCCTGGCGTTTTTCTCCGGATGGGTTAGTGTTTATAATATATAGTCAGTTAATACAGCTGCATACTAGGGACTGAAAGTGTGAGGACCAGTAACATATGAGGATTAAACAGGAGTGCTCCTTCCCTCCTGTCTAGCCACCACCTTTCTGGGAAAGGTGAAGTGGCTATTACCTGAAGTAGTTATTCTCCTGAGGTTCTTCCTGAGAGAACTGATATTCAAGCGCAGTGACGTTAGCTCCTTCATAATGTGAATTCACCCTGCCCACACACACACACATCTCACTGTGAATAAAGAGTCTGTCTGTATATTGTTGGGAAAATGTATTTGAACTGTGAACTGCAATGGAGTAAATAAATACTGTGTACAGCATCAGTGTGTCACGTGAACCAGTGTTTCAACTTTGAGAAATTATGAGTTTGCTTGATTTGGGGATTGTTTGCGATATTTTTACAAGGGGGAAAAGGGGACAGATGAAGAGAAGCAAAGGAAAAAGCAAAAGCCCAGCCAAGGATTCTTAAAGGTTGTGGAGAAGCACAGTAGAGAGACAGACAGGAAAATACCTCAGAATGGGAGATTTGGGGGGAAAAAGCCAGAAGGGAGCATGTGGGAGTCATTACAGATAGGAAAGAGAGGAGAAAGATGTCTGAAAGCAACCCCCCATTCCTACTGCAGCAGCACTTTTAATCTGGGGGCAGGGAGAAGAGGAGGCTGGGCCTGGAAATGAGGAATAAATAGGGTGTTCGGAGAGGATTACAGGCAATCAATATGAGCAGCAATGCCCTTCACCGTAGCACTGAACCAGGGGGGTTGCTGGAAGGTCCATGTGACACCACCCAAAGAGGCCCAGCACTGCAATTTGCCAGCTGGATGGTGCTGACTATCTATTCCCGGGTGCAATACTGCTGGGATTAGGACATCTGCCTCAAATCTGTCTGAAAGAGCTTGGAGACAGCTGGCACCAACAACATGTCCTTCCGGTTTCACCCTTCCCAGCTAAGGACACCTGTCTAACTGTGATCAGGGAGGACCTACCCTGCTACTGTTGGCTCTGCTGTTGCCCTGGCCCAGCACCCACCTTCTCACTCCCCAAACGGTAGAGGAAGGAAGAGCTCTCCAAGAGCTTGCTTACAGTGGTGATAGTGTTTGGTTCAGAGCTCTTGTGCCTCCCAAACCCCACTGCTCTGTCCCTGCACACTCGTCCCTAACAGCGATCCTCCCTGATCATGTGTCCCAAGACCTCATCCAGTTCCAGCTCTGGTTCCTCCTGTAGCACTTTCTGCTGCAGCTCAGAGTAGAAGTCGACTCCCTCAGAGACTGAATGGAGGGGCTTGTCTTGGGGCTCATAGTAGCTGCTTATTTGCTGCTGTATGAAGCACTGGTGGTGCTGAGGCCGATCCTTGAAGCTCCCATCATAGCCCTTGATGTGGTTCCTTTTGAACTCCAGCACCGTCTTGGTGTAGGTGTTGAGAGTGGTGACAGCAGAGGCCATGCAGCAGGTGAAGGAGGCCCAGGCCATGCTACAGGAGAGACACAAGAATAGCACAAGCTGTGAGAAGCCAAGCAGGGTAAGAAACAAATTTAACTGCATGCACCATGATGTGCCCCGATTTGCCAGGCAGAAGCTGCTGGGCATGGACATGAACTAGAAAGACTAAGGCTCATAACATTACAGTTCTTAGGGGTTATCCCACCACAGGATCCTTCTTAGATCGGTGGGGTAAATACTGGTCATCCTTGTCATAGGGAAGGGAGAGATACAGGGAAAACAAAAAGGGCAGCAGGAAAGTCTATAACTGGTCAGAGCAGGACAGCACAGCTTGGAAGCAAGTTCTGTATTGCAGGGCTACTCAGTGTCTTCCTGGACATGAGGCATGTCTACCTGAGCATAACAGATGGCCATGCTGACGTTTGATGTCCACAGCGGGCACATGGCACTGGAGTGTTTAAGTCTTAAGAAGCAATGTGGTCATTGTCAGTACAGCATTGCAAATTGAACCTGCACTTTCCATGGCTCCACTTTTAAGGCTCATCCAACTGTGTTTCAAGTCAGTTATGGTATATCAGCTGTGGTTTCTGTAGCGTTTAGAGAAAGGAACCCTGAGCCACCTGCTTTTTGCAGCTGCTCTTCCTGGCTACAGTGTGCACATCTTTAAGCACGTGTCTAGGCTTTGTGCTGCAGGCATAGGCCCTTCGGACTTTGGTTAGTGAAGATGCCAAACCAGCATGCAGCTTATTTAAACTGCAGAAAAACAAGGCATGTTTGAGAGCATCATCACAGGTGTGACACTGGCCTCTGTACACAGGGAAGAGCTGAGACCAAACAGGGCAAACCAGTATAGGGGCAAACCTGATTAGTCAGCAGGGTTGAAGGCACTTGTTTAGGTGTGACCCCATTGGTTTGCCAGTCCTTGGTAGCTACTCATTTAAGTAACTCAGCAACTATTTGTTAAAGCAGGGGATGAGGCGAAGACAGGAGATTAGCAGGAGAACCACGGTACACCTGTCTTTGGAAACACAGAAGGTCAAGAAGGGAGGAGGTGGGTTTTGGCAGGGCTGAAACCCAAAAGGCTGGGGAGGTGAAGATGGCTTCAGAGCTCACGTACTAGAACGCCCAGCCGTAGTCCCATGAGTGCGGTCTCCAGTCCTCTGGTCCCAGATTAACTGTTGCCTGGAAGACTTGACTGTACATCATGTGTGCCACCATGCCAAGGAGACCTGAAACAAGAAGACAAGAAAGCAAGGAATTTACAGCGGGAGCCAGAGCTGTATACTTCAGCCTTGTGTGGAAGAGGAGGATCTCCTGCTGCTGTGATTCCAAGCCTGCAGTGACACACTTACCTGACAGCACCGAGGAGACAGCAGCGAAAGCATTGAGCTTCAACCCACAGACAGGATTGCCAGTATGGAGCATTTCCACCATCAGGAGGATGAAGCTGATGAGCAGCAAGCTGATGTACAGCATCTCTGATCCCAGTGACAGCCACAGGATTCCTGCCAGGAACCAGAGACTCCTCACATCAATACAGGATGGCTTGTTCAAGGGAGAGTACTCCCCCTTCCCAACCCAATCCTGAAGGATATCCTTTGGAAAGAAGGGAAAGAAGGAAAACAACGAACACCCAAAGCAATCCCCCCAGCCTGTGAGCAAGGGCTCAAAGGATGCTGAAGGGGACAGAGAGTCTGTCACAGAAGATGGCTTGGCTGGCCTGGCACTGCAAAAGCTGAGAGAAACTAAAACAGCTGCTTGTAAACAAGCCAGCATTAGTCGTAAACAGCAAGGAAGAAGCCATGGGGAAAAAGGCAGGGGGAAAGCTGTTGAGCACAAGCCCTGGTCTTCATAGGTTGGTCATGAACACATCTGAGCTGGATGTTAGAATGTTCTTTCCCATTAGTGTAGTGACTTTCACAGTAGGTTTCTAAACACAGCAGTGGAAGCAAATGACTTTTAACCTGGGACTCAAGTGGTTAAGAAAAGAACTGTATGGTGCATCTGCAGCGATGGCTAGGACCTGGCCTCTGGAATTCAGGAGGTCCCTTTTGCAGGCCTGTATTTCTCATTGAAACCTCAGTTAAAATGAAACTATATTCCTTGGGGTGGATACCCAGTTAGGGCAATAACATTCACCACTCACCCTACTGCTTGAACAGAGTACAAGTACTTTCATACTGGGATTATCAGTGGGACTGTGATACCACAGTCCTCAGTTGAGGTTACTGTGCAGTAGGACTTGGAGGAGAATGAGAAAAGGCACTTTGTAATGCTGGGCTGTGGAATAGCACAGAATTCACTGAGGAAGAAATGTTAATCTGACAAATGAAGCAGCACTGTGAACACTACTGTTAGCAACTCTTAATGGCCATAGAGGAGAAATTCAACTGGGGAAAAGGAGTGTGAAGAAAACCCTCATTAATGTGGCACTGACTTGTCTCCTCAACATCATTAGTGCCATAGAATGACCCAGCTCTTTAGCAGGAATTGACGAGCTGCATTCCTTGCTTAAAGGAGCTGGCTTGCTTGCTGCAGCACCATCAGGGAGACTATTTCATTAAAGGTCAGACTGCTGAAAGTGCCCTGGAGGTTGCAGGGCACAGAGGTCTCTGCATCACTTTCTCTGTGAGTCCAGGCTCACCATGCATGCCGTGTAATCTGGTCTTGTAATGCTGTCTATGTAATGTGGAGCTGCTCTGCACACGCCTAGCTCAGCCAGCACAGCCTGCAATCACCAGTCACACCACCTTCTCTAGTGCTGGCCCAACTATATAATAGCAGCTGTGCTGGAGACCAAGATCACCTGAAGATGATGCTATGTGCAGGAAGGGGCAAAAGCGGGTGATGGAGCTGTTAAGACCACAGCGTCACTATGAGTGTCGTGCTTAAGCTCACAGTGATCTTCGTGAGACATGAACATGGCCTTTCATGTTGGGCTGCAGTTAGACAAGGAGCAGTAGGAGGAGTGTGAGGGGGGAAAGAAAGAAAGATTTACAAAGACAAGTAATCTGGTTGCATAAACTTCCTTTCTTAGGTAAACAGTCTGTTTTCCTAAGGAAAGACATTGGAAGCAACAGAGCCAGAGGCCTGGACAGGGAATGAAGTACAAGAAGGTGAGAAAGCAGAAAAAATGCATTGCTACTCCCTGTAAAGTGAGCATTTTGCGGTAAATGCAAGAGTCATTCAGTAAATGCAGTTAAGTCATTCATTTTATGACAAAGTGGAGATCTGCATGACTTCAAAATGATCTTGCAATACCAACATTATTTGAATTGTGTGAATACTGTTTCCCAAAAGAATAAGCAGGGGAGGTTTTTCCACCCTGATGTTGTGCTGAGAGTGACCCAGGTGAAGCTGCACAGTGATGCCACTGCACACCACTTGCACCTGACCCCTCACCTGGGGAATGCACATTGCTTTATAAAAGCAGGTCAGCAGTCTATGCCAGTGTTTTTAAGATAGGGGAAACAAGGCAGAAAAAGAAGATGAGTTCCCTGCAAATACTCATCTCCCTGCTGGCTGTTGTAATTCCCCAGCATTTGTTCCAGCCCTTGCTCTCGTGGCTTGAACTCTGACACAGGCTCTGCACCCCAGGCCTTTCCCTTCACATATGAACATCCTCTGAAATGACTTGCCTCCAGCCTCCATCCCAGGGAATAGTTAGCAAGCCCACATCAATTGAAAAGCTTTCAGTAAGTAAAATCTCCACTGCATATGTACACATACATCCAGGCATACTGAAGTTATTCCCAGGATAATTTGAAACATGTGACAATGACAGGAAGGGTGAGCTCTCCAACCCAAATGAAGTTTTGTATTTGATGAGGCAAGGACTTCACCCTGAAAGTGTAACTTTTGGATGTCCTGATCACTTACCACAAAGTAAGAGGTGATGCAGCTTCCAGTCATCGCATTAGACCCCAAAACTGAAGTACTGAGTCAACATGTAGCATATGTGGGAGGAACTGCCCTCAGGTGGCATCCATTCCCTTCCCTCTAACTACAGCAAGATGACAAGCTCAGACTGGGTAACTTATTAGATGAGACAAATCCCACTTCATATCAGAGAGGGTCTGAGGTTTCCAGCACTGACCTCACAGATGGCAGTTGTTTAGGCAAACATCAGGGAAGAAATCTTGGCTCTTTTAGCAACCATGAGGCCAGGATTTCATGCCCGGCTCTTTGGGGACCCACCCTGCTGTCCTCACACAGGTGAGATGTTGCAGGTCCCCCATCCCAAGGAGGTGCACTGGGCAGCTACAGTGAGGTATGGGGATTTGCTCTTACCTCTCTCTGCTGGTGGTGAAAGCTCAATAAAGCTACGACATTTCTCTTCTGAAACACAAAACCAAAGGTATTAGTTTGCAAAACAATGCAGGGTACATAAGGGAAAAGAAAATCTCTCCCTCTGACTCTCTCTTCACTGCATAGCTCCAGTCATCCCTGAGTCAACCCATCAGATCTTCTCACTTCTGCTCTCTTTCTGACTGTCTTTCCAGACCTTCACTGGGGCAAGATACGGGAAGGCAATGTCTGCCTGGAAGACTAGAGGTGGCCTTTCAAGAAAAAAACTTCAGCAGTTTGTAAATCTTACAAGCCTCTGGTGAATATAAAAATCTGTCGCTACTCATTCACAACATTGCTGTTGGTCAGGCCTATTAAGGGGGTAGCTTACAACAGACTGCAGACCCACCACTGCTGCTGAGGACTTGAATTCCCACTCACCCCAGTCTCAGCAGAGCAGTTCTAGCACTGCTTACCAAAGAGGAAAGCAAAAAAAAAATCTTTCCGAGTGAAATGCTGCATGACAGAGATGTGAGTCCCTCTTCTGTGGCAGAGAATCACACAGAAATATGGTCTTCTGTCCTCCTGTTTTAGGCATGCTATTTGGACAAATGGTGTTCATATTTGCTTTGGCTTTTTATGTTGGCCAGATGCAAACTATTGTCTCAGCTGAGGGTCCATCAGTATTATCTGTAAGTCTCTCTTACTGCATACTGCATTACTGCATTTGAGGGTCCTCTCCTCTACCTGGCACAGCATTTTCTCCCAGAAGTATCAGCCTGCCGCTTTTCATGTAAGCATCTCATTTTCTTAATTTCTATCCCCAGTCCTAATCTCTTCCAATCTCCTGTATTAATTCCGTCATCCACAGCTCTCAGGACGCTACCCAGTTTAATGCCATCTGCAGTCCTCATTAACTTGCGGCTTGCTACTTCACCTAGAACTTTAATGAGGTTATTCAGACTCATCTAAACCGATCCTGAGATTAGCCTGAATAATGAAATCCTTTCTTCAGCTCAACTCAAACTGCTTTTGCTCATAGTAGCCCCTTTTTTTTGTTGTTGTCGTCTCTGCACTTGCTTCAAAGACCCACAGCAGTGGGTGGGTTGTACTCACTTTACAGGAAGCAGAGGACTGAGACTGACTATGTGCTCTACCCCGTGCTCTGCTGCGATCCAGATGTAACGCACTCTCGGTGTTCCTTCAGGCATTGGGGTTGTTCCAGGACTGCCCGGTGGCCAGACAAGTCTTTCAGAGAAAGCTGTCAAGGGATGTAGTCCCATTCCCACAAGCACCATGGAAACACACCCCAACCCAAACCGGTCCCAAATAAACACATCTCCTTCCGCAGCATGTCTGAAAATGCTCATAACGAAGCAGCCTTCTCATTAGGACATGAGAGTTTCAAGCACATTCCCTCCTGCTCCCACCCCCCTTCTGTCTGCTTTTATTCACCAGTTCTTCATTTTCAAACTCTGACAGCAACAGATAAGAAAATGAGAAATGTTATACTAGAACGGTGGCTTAGTTAAAAAAGGTGAGATGTTTGTGACCGGGGAGAGCTGAAGGGAGGGCGGTGGGCTCAGGGGAACGGGCCTGATGAAAGCGACTTTCATCACTGTATCTTTAGATACAGATCTCCCTGTAGGCCACCTTCCGGGTCAGTTCTGATCCTTGATGTGTGTGCCAGGCCTTAAAGAGCATCTGTGCACTGCAGAGCATCCGCCTGTGCTGGCGTGGCGCAGGTTTCAGCAGAAGGACTTCAGCAGGGCTGGGCAGGAGCAAGTCAAGGGTTAAGGGAGGCAGCAACAGGGTCTAGTACAGGTTGCACGACCAGTCCCTGGCACTCCAGGGTTTACAATGCCAGTCCCACATGGTCAAAAATCACAAATGAAACCTGTCACAATATCACAAAAACAATTAAAAAAAATACAATACTGCAGCTCTAATCCTCAGTTCAACTTGCCTCCTAGCTTTAATTCCTCTGGGTTCAGATCCTCCAGGTTTCTCTGTATCTATAAGGCAGTACTTCTCTTTCTCTCTTTACTATTTTTTTTTAAGAAAAGCCCAGTCCCTGTTCAATTCACAAAACCTTTCGGTTTGGTGATTTAAGGAGAACACCAACTATTGCAGTCTTCACAGTGATAACCATAAATTGATAACACTGCATAAAATCACCCCACTTAGATTTCTGAGGGGACATGCACAAATGTGCCCTGGAGAGCATGAAGCAAGCTGTGTGTAGGAATGGAGATATGGGGAAAGGGAAAGGAGGCTCACTCCAGTTCACATCAGGATGAACGATGCCATCACAAAGTCACTGCCGCATACCACCACCTCTTGCACTTCACAGCCCCTATTCCAGACCGAAGGGCCCACCAGAGACAACCATGCTCCCTTGCCCCCCGCTGTAAACATCCCAATGAAGGACAGAAATATAATGACCACAGCAGTGCGCACAGGGCCAATGCTAGGAAAATGAAGAAGACTTTTCTCCCAAGTGTTGTCAGCCTCCCGCCTTTCCTTTACTCCTGTGGAGTAAATACAAGGGAAGAAGTTGTGGCTGCCTGGGCAAGACGCTACCTGGCCCTTCCATGCTTTCTTCACAGGAAAGCCACATCCCCGTGTGGAAGTATCTGAAGTCAAAGCGGTCATCCCCGGTCTCCCAGCTGTAGTGCACCACATCCTGGGACGAAACATTGCTAGCACCTGCATCAGGCGGCATGGGGACACCGATGCACTTGGTGGCTTTGCTCTTCCCACACAAAGGCTTGGGCACTTTCTGGGTCCCGGTGCACCAGTAGCTGCCGAGCAAGGCAGTGGTGGAGAGGCTGAGAGCCAGCAGGTTCAGGATGACAGCCAGGAAAGCACGGCGCCATGGCAATCCCTTCAGCAGCTCCATCTACAACACACAAATGGGAGTGACTGTCACACCAGCCACTTGTCCCACGTAGCCTTACAAAACCCAAGTCTTCCCAGCGCATACCTGTGGGAGGGGATATGAGCACTCTGCCCTCCTCACAACATCCCAACAGCTCACCCAGCATGGAAGAACCGTTTCCTGAAAGCCAGGGCAGTGGAGCAATACGTCAGCTTCAACCGTTTCAAAGTACACTGAATATCTGTACTGGGGAAGAGAGGGTGACCCAGTAGATATAGCAGGGCTGAGTGCTTCAGGGTGTGTGAGCACATGAGCAAAATGAAAGGGACATCATATTCACTCCATCTCAGAGATGGTAGGGAAAAACTGTTAACCAACTTCCCCAAATATCATGTGTTGCCTTTAGATGGGGCATGATGAATGCTTTGTCCAACTAAATGAAAATTCTTGCTGCCAAGTGTCCCAAAACACTTTTTTCAAGCAGTTCATTACTGTACCTAGGGAGGTAGGTTGTCTATTGATTTCACAGTGGGGAAAGGCAGGAAAATGTTCCCGGATCACTGAAGGTCACACATCAAAGCAGTGACCTGCTCAGGAGGGACACCCAGCTACGCAGACCTGGCAGCTTCAACTTCAGAGTTCAAGCCCCAGAGCAGCACCTCCCACCTGAGCAAGCACTGCTCTGCACATCAGAAATTTGGTAGAGTGGTGGGATGACAGTGTCTCTGCTCTCACACAAAGTGCCAAAGGATTTTTTTTTAAGAGCGAACATTGCCACAAACACTCTTCCCGGTTTCACCTCATCAGAAAAAGTAATTCAGAAAGCAGTTTGTGTACCAGGGTCCTGGTACCAGAGTCTTTCTCACTCAGAGGGAAGCTTAAGATTTTACGGTTCCTGCAAAACCCTGCAGTGACTTCTGAGAACCCCAACTTATCACTCCATGGATTGATTAGATGTCATCTACCCACACATCAACTTTCATGTAATCAACGCATGCCTCTTCCCACATGGCACTCCCTATGTTTGGCACAACTTCATCCAGATACTCCCACCCTTTCCTATTTATGACTCTCAAAATCTATTTGCCCATGAATAGATTCAGTTTGTACAGACATTGCCTGCTGCTGGTCCTCTTCACATAACTTCGGTTGACTCACCCAACATTGAACGTGTGAGAAAGGCCCAGCATACTGTGGACACTACTATAAATAAATGGTATGAGACTGAGCTTTGCATTGTTTGTTAGAAGCATTTGTTCTGCTAACCAGCAAGCTCAGAAATGTGGTCAATAAAAATGGTGCTGAAGCTCATCTTGGAAAGCATTCCATCTCAGCACACTGACAAAACAGTGCCTGATCCAGAACGCCCTCATCAAAGGCAAGAAAATACCCAGCTCCTGAAAAATCCCTGTATTGTTTTATGCTCTGGCTTCTTTTTTCTCTTCACCAGAGCATTTTTTCTTTCAGCAATGGAGATGCTGCACCCTGGAGATGGTAACATCTTAGTGATACCATAACTAATGACTTCCATGATCTGAAGGCATGTTGGATATCACCATTTTCACAGAGCAGATATCTACTAGGAACAGTTAATTATGTGAGGGTTTCTGGCTAAGGTTGGTGGCACATGCCTCACTGCAAGTTTTTTCAGTGGAAAATTTGGCTTATGACTGAAAAGGAAATTACAGATAAAATTGCTTTTCTCAAAAACATTATTTTTCATCTGAAAACCTTCAGCACACGAAGTTTTTCAGATTTTCATCAATGCTTGATTATAAGATATTTTGTCATCAGGTTTGGGGTTGCTCCTGCTTTTATTTAAAAAAAAAATCTTTCCACTCATAATATTGACAAAAATAATTTTTGTAATTTAAATCTTCAATAGCGGGAAAAATATTCTCTCCAGTTGATTTGTGGTAGTAGCTGAAAGAGCATATCATTTCAGAACAAGTGATAAGGAAAAAGGCAAAAAAATATAAGAAACAAATGAGTCAGAAGAAGGAACTGGATCAAGGATGACGAGGACATAGGGAATGAGAAGCAAATCTGAACTACTCCTTCATGAGAACAATGTCAGAAAAGTTTCCCTCCATAAAAGCCAAGCACTTACCGACAATAAGTGACCATAGTACCTAGATAGCCCCAAAAAGAAAGAGAGTTGAATTTACCTTGGCAGCAAGTCCTCGAAGTCCTGTTAATTTGGAGGAGCAATACAGAAATGGGACTCATGCTTTGTCTGCTGTTTTGCTCATCTCTAGATCCTCCAAGAAACCCAATTGCTTCAAAACCCCTTTCTCCTTTGTCTCCTCCCCTCCTCCCTCACCCCCCAAGTGATTATTAAATGCTATCCCTCCAGCCAGCAGCTGTTTTGTGGAAAACAGTCATTTTGTAATCCACAGTGCAATCACAGCACAGTTGTTCTGTCTGGGAGATTATACGGGAAGCGATTGGTGCTGCGGGCTGGGATTAAGTGCAGAAGAGTGAACTGTATTGACTGAGTAGAAAGTTTCCATGAAACACAGAAAGATCTCAGCCATCTCCATGCGGTGGCTGTTTGGGAGCTTGTATGGAGCGAGCTGGTGGCTCTTCGGCCAATGCTTCAGGGGACGATTGACCTTAGCTCAGAAACTACCAGCACCCTTGGCATCAGGTCACCCCTTGCCCTGTGCACTGTCTCAGCAGAATGGCAAAGGCCACAAGCCCCCCAGCCCTGGGATGTCTTCCTGGCCAAACCTGCCAGTCGCAGAAAGGGGAGAAGAAAAAAATGGGGAGAGAAAAGTTTATGCCACTGCATCTGCTCTGAGGACTGAGGATTTCAGACCCTGAAGAGGTGCCAACCCAGCTCTCCCCATGGGCACTGGAGATTTTAATGACAAAAGGAGCCCCTTAGCAGAAGCGCTGCTGAGTGGCAGACTGGCACCACAGCATCACCACCGTGACAGAGGTGTGTGAAACAGTGATGAGTCAAAGAAGTCCCAAAGGACGGGAGCTTGGGGAAGGCTGTCAGTGTCCCTCGTAGTGGCAGATTTTACCGAGGCGCGAAGTTCACCAGGAATCCCAGCTCCGAGCAGCTTCACATCAGATGAATTTGGGAAGCTAATAAGGAGAGACAGAAAGATTTACACTCACCCGAAGTCCCCCCTGAGCTCTTGTCCTGAAAGTTTAAAGGCTCCCACAATACCTGAGGGTGTTGATAAAACTCGTCTGGTATCAGAACAGTGAAAAGTAAGAATGGCATTACCTCTCACAAGAACAAGGTGATGGACTAGAACTAGTGGGATGAACTAGAGGGCATGGAGCCACGCCGCATTGAATCAAACTGCAAGGGAGAGGAGCATCCCAAAAGTACGCACCCCGTCTTCCCCACAATGGCTTAGCCCAGTGCCAAGTGGGTGAGACTCCCACCACCACTGGGAGGGAGCAAGGCAGATTCCCTGCCTGCCAGCAGTCCCTGCTACTCTGCCAGGACAGGGGGAACCAGTGGTCCAGCTGCTCGCATCCCCCACTTCCAAGACGAGCCCAGAGGATGGGAGGCAGGTGTACAAACAGCTTTGGGTGACGGCACCGCCTGTGACAGCCCCTGCACAGCGCAGGCAGCAGACCGAGCCGACAGGTTCACGGTCCCGTACGTGGGCTGTGCTGTCACGGGCTCCTGACCCTCCCCGCCCTGAGCAGAAGGGTCGGTAGCTCTGCGGCTACTTTAATCCTAGTCACTGCATAAGCTTCTCTAATACAGATAATAATTTCTAAGATGGGCTAACTGAAAGCAATGCTAAATGTTTCCATGCTCCATGGACTGCCTGCAGGTTTTTTGATTAATAAAAGGGTTCTGTTTGACACAGATGTACTTAATTTACTGAAATAGGTAGAATAACAGCTGATGCTGTTTAAAAGGAGTGTGGTAATTTTTTTTTTTTTCATTGTTCAATCTCTCCACATCTGGACACCTTAAGTTTGGCTTCTAAATGCTTAGTAAAAAAAAGCCTGGTTTTCAGGCTCAACAATAGATAGAGTCCATCTCTCTACTGATAATCCTTAATGTGAACATGTTCCTAATTCTAAGTTTGATGAGAGTCTCACTAAAATCCAGGATGTTATGTCAGTTTCTAAAGCTGAGATCATGGCACATATATTGATGAAATGAGACTGTATTAGATTTATATGGATAAGAATTTAGATTTAAAAATAAATTTATCAGAAGTATGCTATGGTTTCAAAAATATACATATATCAGATTTAGTATTCTGAATAATGGCAAATATTTATCCTTCCAGAAGATGGCAATCTTTCTCTAGTCTTCTTTTTGGGAGTCTCTGCTGCTCACGAGTGTGCTGGGGGGAAACAACACCCAAGTTTAGACTTCTGTTCTTTCCCTTTATGTTTTTTCCCCTCTCTACCTTCCTCTTTTTTCTATTTCAATGAACACAACCCCTTTACCTCACCTGGGGATATGGGGTTTTCGAGTTATCTTTGAGTTATCTGAGCCTGGGGAGACTTCTGAAATCATTGGGGAAAGAAAAAAAGAGGAATGAATGGAGGAGCTCAGCAGGGCATTTGCTCCATCTTCTGCCCTGCATGGACCTATTCTTTCTAATACATTTTCCAATATTTTGTCAAGTACCATATCAACTTTCTCAACGTGTTTTCATCCCCAGATTATTGCACACAGCTCATAGAACATAAACACCAGAGCATGTTTCCTGATGTTCAACAAACTTCCCTTAGCAAAATTTTATGGCTTTTTTTTTTTTTAGAATCTCCATTCCAACCTCGCCTTAATCTGACCAATTATGGACAGGAAAACCAAGCTGTATCTGTCTTTCACCCTAATATGCCTTCCAGTTTTCTCCTCTTTGTATCTGATATTTCCCACCATAACTTGGCTTCGCTAGACGTTTTGGATGTCCCTTTCTCTTTGAACTCAGCAGCAGCCAGTCCCTGGTGACTTGTTTAAAGTTCGCCCATTGAAGTGAATGCCCATAGCAGTTGATTTCCTGTGCAATCAACCAAGCGCTTGGCTTACAGAAACAAAACAAGGAAACGAAATGCAAAACACAATCCTAGCACAACACCTCTACGGAGATTACCAACTCTGCAAAAGCCTGGGCGTTTACAAGTGATGCGTTTTTGTCCCGGCTGTATCACATAGGGTGTATCCTGCCCCAAAGTGACACCCTCAACTCCCAGGGATGTTGGTGGAAAAGAAGGGCAAGAAGCCCTTACCAGAGAGGGTTCAACAATTGCAATACTTAACTGGCAGGTCTCAAGAGGCGCACGGCTCTTCATAGCCTTCCATGCAGCCCTCCTCCCCAGGGATATCAGGGATCATACGCTGTCCTGACTTTGGCTCATCAGCTGTCCTGAAGAGGAAATTTTAAGAGCGGCTATTTACACCCATAATATCGCTCTGTGAAACCTGGACAAAGACGGGCTCATACTCACCCCTCATTCCACACACTCCTTGCACATGACACTTCCCACCGCTCCTGTTTTTGCTGCTTTTATAGGAAGACGGTCCAGCGCTGCAGTCCCCTCCCTTACTGCCACACAGAAAGCAGGATGTCTCCGGGTGGCAGTGACACTGAGAGAGCCAGACTTCTCAAACCCAGTGACAGACTGCAAATGCCAGATTTCTCCCTGAGCTCTGAATAATTCCACTCAGATTGTAACCTTTATTTAGCTGTTTGGATGATGCATTAACTCTTGCTCTGCAAATGACCTCACCAGGCACATTTTTTCTAATCTAAGCACATTTAAAGGTGAATTCTGTTTTTAAACAGCTTACATTGCTAGACATCAAGCCTGTGGCAGAACAGAAATAAAGATTGAACCGTAATAAGTAAATGCATCTTAAAGATGAACAAACAAGATTGCCATCAGTTTGGACATAACTACTTTTTTTTTCCCCCTACTTTTTTTTTTCTTCTTTTTTTTTCTCAAAACAAGTCTTACTTGGCTGGATTTTTTCCTAATCTTTATGGTTGTGAACCATTCAAAAAACACATAGAAAGTAGATATGAAAAGAAAAAAAATCAAATGCAACAACACAGACTTTGAGGACTCACTAGAGATTCTAGATGCCTCAATTTCTAGATTGGCATAAAGGGGGTTGCTTTCCACAGAGTACTTAAACTCTGGCAACTCTAGGATGTGTTCACCTAAGCACACAGAAAAAAATGTTATTTATGAAATTTAGCCAACTATAAACTGTAAGCAGACAAGAAAAAGAAAACTTTTTATATAGACCTATAAGGATATTAAAGAGGACTCAGTCGAGGAAAGGGTCCATACAAACCCCCAAGCAGATAAAGGCTTACCTTATTCACTGCTCACTATGCCCAGCTGATCTTCTGAGGCATCCAGTGAAATACTACAAGGTGATCATGGACTCTCCCCACTGTTTCTTTCTCTCTGACTGAACATGTAGCAGCCAAGAAATTCCATGAGATCTGACCAGATGCTTTGAAATGTACGAAGTCTGTCATTTTATTGATGGGTTAATTCTTTCTGAGCTCACTAATTCATCACGGTACATTATATCAGCCGCAGGATTGGCAGGGCGTCCACTTCTGCAGAATGCGTCTTTGTAATTTGGTAGTCCCCTTTAGGAAAATTGTTGCCAGTTTTAAATCTACCATTTATGGGATCTCAGTCTGTTATTCCACAGAATCACAAACACCCAGACTCAATGGCTGTCACAGGCTATGGGTTTTTTTATCGTCAAAAGGGACCATTACAACAACATAGTCTCATCTCCAGTGTAACAGAACCCAAAGAACTTCAGACAATTATTTCTAGCGATACACAGAGCTCCTGCTGGAGCTATAGCACATATTTTATACAACTAACTAGTATCGACTGTGCAACAAGATATGATGGAAAACCCATCACATCCTTAGAAAAGTTATCCCAATGGTTAATTAACCTCATTCTTAAAATTTTGCTCTTGATTTGTAAGCACAGTGTCTGCTTTAGTTTTCCAACCTCATCAGGCTGCTCCAACACACAAATAAATAGCCAGTGAAATGATTTCCTAAAAATGTTATTGTAAGAGTCACAAATCAATGCATTTCATTAGAGGCACACAGTGTGATCTAACAAGCTGGCTGACAGCCCAAATTCCTGGTTTTGTACTTGGCTCTGACACGTAATTTTCCCCTCCCATCGGCCAAGTCATTAGTGGTGCGTTTACACTGCAGTCAAAGCAGTGGCAGTGATGGGGAGTAAACATTCAGTGCTTGTTTTAATTGGGTGTTGCTAGCAATTTCGCTCCAGCAATATGGAGCACAATGCAGGGTACAAACCTCAGTCCAGCAATGGAGTAAAGTAAGCCGTGCTGAACTCCACATTGCCACGGCTGGACTGATAGTTGTCCCTACACTATAAAGTTGGGCCTTCACAGTCATTCCCACAGATGCAAATCTACAGCACAGCCGATCCTTGTTGATGTTGGAATCAGCACAAAGCCGGTAGGAAAGAGACACTCTGTTTTGATGATGACAAAACTCCAGGATCTAAAATTAATCTGTGCAAAGAGTACATCACATATGCAGATGATCTTGGAGTCAAAGAAACGTTTACTATCAGTTTTAAAGAAAAAAATTGAAACAGTACAGTTGAACTACACTGTACTTTGGTTTCATGTATGGAAATGAGTAAGTCAAAGCAATGGTTCTTTGCTTCAATTTATCTTTTCCTCCATTTCACTATGGTGAATCAGAATAGGCAGAGCTAGAGGAAGCTTCAAAAGATTAACTAGTAAATCCACCTACATCAATATGACCGAGGCACCCTGAAGACCTTCAAGCCTACTGTTAAAATTTTCTGCAAGGCAGATACTACTCCATCCTGGATTGAAGTCAGTATATTCCCTTGTAGTATCTTGATTCCAAGCAAATCACAATATCCAACAGAAAACTTTTCCATTTCTGCTAAATGTCATGGTCTCCATCCCACATCTGAATTATTTACTCACGTGGATTGTCCCCTTGAGGCCATTGGAACTACACGATTTACTAAAGTTATACTCACGCGCTAGTATTTGAGGAACCAGTGCTTCAAAGGAAGACTCTAAGCTAGCAGGAGAGGTTTGGAAATCAAAAAGAGTGAGTAAGACAGAGAGTTAGCTTTTTTGAGGTGAGGCGTGGGAGGTGTTTTCGTTCTTTAGCTATTAAAAACTCTTTGCTTTGGCAAGAAAAAAATAAGGGGGAGAGAAAACTGGGAGGGGAAGGATTCATGAATAAAGAGGCAGCATGGCAAGAGGTACAGCAACCAGGGTGGCCAGAAGGCACAAGGGAATTTCTCAGGCTGGCTTCCCTGACGGAGCAGAGACGGTAGCGAGCGCAGGTCAGAGGAGCCAAGGTCTAAAGGGAATAATAAAACCAGCTTTCTTTAGAGTGCTGAGCAGAGGGGTTATGTTACAGTGGGTGCTTTGAAAACAACGGTCCTAGATACTATAATTGCACCTTTTATCTTTCTGGATGTCCTGGTAATTATCCAGGATTGAGGGCATCTCCTTTTTTCCCAGATTTAATGAGGATTTCAGATCCCTTTCCATTCCTTCATGGCATTTTGGAGCTGTGGCTTCACGAATGGTCCTGCTGGTGAGTGCCATCCCCGGTCCTCATGCCTCCCGTCCCCTTGCACGCTGCAGCAGGCGGCACAGCGGGGCTACCTGTGCACCGGGGAGGGGACAGGTTGGGACAGGGCAGCGGTGACACAAGTCTGGGCCCCCGGCCGCGTGCCTTGGAGGCCCGGAGGGAGCAGGCGGTGCCGGGAGCAGGCGGTGTCG